TTTGTGCCTGGCCCAGCACAGCCCCGCAGAAGAACCCAGGACTGAAACCCCAGGAGAGCCCCGCCGGGGTGCACGTGGTGCTGAGTCCCCCCTGATTTCGCACCCCGGGGGATCTGGGGAGGAGTCGGGGGAATACAGCAATCGAAGCCCCCCCCTTGGCATTTCTGGTGGTTTGGGGCTTTTCAACGGGGTTTTGTGCAGAGGTCTGAGGGCATTTAGGGGTGGCAATGCCGGGGGGTCCATGGCTGTGGCCATTTTGGGGGTCTCTGCACAGCAAAGCCCCCGCAGTGCCTATGGGTGAGCCAGCACCAGCCCAGCAGGGCCGTGGAACCCGGGCTGAGCTGAGGGAAATGCCAATAAACAGCCTGAGGATCAGTGTGTCACCTCTCTGTCACCTTGCTATACCAGAGGAAGGGCCAGGGGGGCCCGTGTGTCCGTGTGTCCCATTGCCCTGCTGGCTCATATCAGCCCCAGGGCACCAGGGAAGGATGTGGGCAGAGGGTGTCAGAGGTGCTGGGATAGAGCCCAGAAGGGTGCAGCGAGCTGTGGTGGCTGGATCCTGTGTTTCCATCCCAGTGGGATTCTGGAGCTGCTGGGAAAGGGGGCTGTGGGACAGGGAAGGAGGGAGGTTACCCCACTGGTGCTTTGGGCACCTCCAGCAGCAACCCTGGCACTGGGGGTGTCTCCTGGGGTGGTTCACAGCTGCCCTCATTTGTTCTGCCCTTCAGGCCTGGCAGGAAAATCCAGGTGACACATTCAGGTTTCATCACCCATCGCCCCCTGGCAGCGAACGGGGTGGGGCTGGAGCTGAGCTGGGGAGGGCTCAGCTGCCACTGGTGCTGCCAGGGCACCGGATCCATGTCCAGGGGCCACCGGGGTGGGGGTCTGCACAGCACCTGGGGCTCAGAGCCCCTGGAAGCCACAAGCCAAGACCACAACCTGGTGCGGGGGGTCTGCATTTGGCTGGACAAATCCTGCTCCTCATTTGCAGCCCAACTCCAGCCCCAGGCATCCCAGCTTGTGCAAGAGGGACCTTCCTCCCACCGGGGCTGGGATGGGGAGCTGACGGAGACAGCGGGCAGAGCAGGTCTGGGGAGCTGAGCAGCACAGGTGAGTTCCCTGTGTGAGGGATGCTCCTTGTGCTCCCTGTGCTCCCTGTGTGAGGGGTGCTCCCTGTGTGAGGGGTGCTCCCTGTGTGGGGGGTGATCCCCTGTGAGGGATGATCCATGCACAAGGGATGCTCCCCATGGGAGGAGGACCGACAGTGTCCCCAGCTGTGTCCCCAGTGCAGGGACAGCGGGATGCAGGTCCCAGAGCCACCTGTGTGGGGTCTGCATGTGCTCCCTGGCACTGGGGCAGAGCAGAGCCCAGGCCCCGCTCACCTGCCTTGCCCTGGCTCATCCCTGGCAGGAGGAAGGAGCTGGAGGTGCAGCCACATCCACGGCAGGTTTGGTGCTGGCCCCGTGCCGGGAGGTGAAGCCGCGGGTGTGGCTGTGGCCGGAGCACCGGGACCCTGTGGCAGCAGTGGTGACCAAGGAGGGAGGAGCCCTTTGTGCTCGTGGTTTCCCACGGCTCAGGGGTGGCATCCCACAACCCAGCACGGTAGTGAGTTGGCTCTCAGCTCCCCAGGGATGGTCTGGGAGCTGCGCAGGGCACAGGGCCCGGTTGGGCCAACTGGGCTGGCAGGGGAAGACACTGAGCACAGCCACCTGTCCCCCACCTTGGCTTTCACCACGCTGCTGTCACAACCAGCTCTCTCCCACAGTCGCTCCTTCCATCCCGGCCCCTCCAGGCAGGTGTGGGCTGCCTGTGCCCATCCCCGGTGCTGCCTGCACTGCTGGCTCTCAGGGCTGCTCCGTGCAGGGGGAGCTGTCGGCACTGATCAGTCCCCGGGGACTGAACTGGCCTTGACGCCTCTCCAGGCGCTGCTCTGGTGGCCTGCAGGTTCTCCCCGGGGCAGAGCACTGTTGGCTGTCAGCGCTGGGGGAGCCAAAGTGGGGCACAGAGGACATGCTGCAACCCTAGACCTCTCTGGGCAGACAAGGCAGTGCTGGAGTAGGACCTGCTCCCTGCCCCAGGTGCCCCAGGGAGATGTTTTATGTGCCAAAACCAGGGTTTGTGACCAGTAGAACTGGGCTGGGATTTATCTGGATGTCTCTGTTCTAGAAGCAGCCCTGCAGCCTGGGCTCTCCCTGTCCTCCAGATCTCTCCTGCTCCCCGCCAGCTCCTGGGGCAGAGCCAAGTATGCCACGTCCCCACCTTTCCCTTGCCCTGGGCCATGGGGACAGGGACAGCCCCTCCTGCCACGCCGGGGGCCAGACGGGACTCGGCGCATCCTCAGAGCCCCACGTGCCCTTCACTGTGCCAGGGGCGGCAGGGAGAGGAGAGCAGAGGACAGACCCAGTCTGTGCACCCTGTCCTGCAGGTGTGGGTGCACCACACTGAAGGGGTCCCTGTGCCAAAGCTGTGCCAGGACAGGGGTCTTCCATGGGTGCTACCAGCCACGGTGGGTCCCTGCAGAAGCCACGCTCCAGGTGGGATCATAGAACCGTGGAATGGTTTGGGTTGGAAGGGATCTCAAAGACCATCTTGTTCCAACCTGGAAACCCAGCTCTCCTGGGAGGAGCCGGGATGGCTGCATCCCATCCGGGTGATGGTTTCCTGGGCGGGTGGTGAGTTGTGGGAGCTCCTTCCCTGGCACCCAGAGTGTGCCGGCTGGGGCAGGCAGGGTGAGCCTGCCCACTGCAGGCTCCGACCTGCACACTGCTCATCCCGGTGGCACCCCGAGAGTGCTGAGATGCCAGCCGTGGGCAGGCAGTACGTCCTGCCAGGATTAGCTGGATAAACTGCTCACCCTGCTCACCCCTGGGCAAACGGTGTGGGGAAGGGGTGAAACCCCCCTGTTGTGGGTGCAAACTGGTGTCTGTGGGGTTAGTGGGCCTGCTGGGGAGGCTTCTGGCAGCAGCCAGCGCTGGGCCGTGGGGATGGAGGGGTCTGGGGGGCTGTGGTTTCCTGGCACCCTGGGGTGTCCGAGGGCCATCCCCAGCACCGGGGCTCGGGGAAAGCACCCCCTGGCTCGGCAGTGTCGGCAGACAAAGCTGGCAGGCGCTGGCAGCAGGAGGAGGGGATGGAGCTGCTGGGAACTTGGGCGCTTCTCCCTGCCCTGCTTTTCAAAGTGCTTTTCAAGCCTTTTCTTTTTTATTCCCTGCTTTCAAAAGCTGCTGAGAAGCAGCAAAAGGAACCGGCGGTGGCTGGGGAGGGCGGGAGCGCTGAGGTCCGGGCTCCCGAGCCACCCAGCACCCCGACCTGGCTGTTGCCTCCCCAGGGCCGGATCCAGCCCCGGGCTCTGCATGGCTGAGGGTGCAGGGAGGGGGGCCCGTCTCTCCCAGGCAGTTTTTCAAGTTGAGTGAGTGCCTGCTCTTCCCAGCCGGAGCCAGGCCAGCCTGCGGGAGCCTTCCCGCCGGCTCCCAGCAGCTGGTTGATGTTAATCCCTCCTGACTGCGCTGTCTCAGCCATCTCCCCGCTCCCGTGACAGCATCAGGTGAGACAAGCAGAGCTGCTCCGGTGTCACACCAGCCTTCGACCCTGTCCCCGCACGACTGGGTCAAGCTGCCGGTGGGAGCTCTGGAAAACCCTCCTCCTCTTCCTCACCCACCAAAAAACCACTGTTGCATCCAGTGGTGGCTCCCAGGGGACTCCTTCCCAACTGCAGGCTTTGCCTCTTGCCTCAGTTTCCCCGTATGGAAAGGAAAATAAAATTTGCCAAGCAACTGGGTTGTGAAAATGGCACTGGAGGGAGCAGCACGGCCCGGGATGGAGACAGCAGGCATGAGTGAGATGGTGCTGGGCAGCCGGGCTGGGGGCAGAAGCTGTGCCCTGGGTGCCAACCCCAGCATCTCTGCAGTGCCACACCCACCCTCACTGCCCACTGCAGTGCCAGCTCCGCGTTTATGCCACTTCCTTCTTCCCACGGAGGAAAGTGTCAGCACCAGATGAGCCATCAGAGTGCCCAGTGCTGCCCAGCCTGGTGCTGCCACAATGGGCCCCCAGATCATGCTGCTGGGCCCAGGGAATGGAACTCCTTGCACCAGTGACGTGAGAGACCTCGGGACATCTCAGCGTTGTGTCCCAGCCCCTGAGATCCCAGGGCTGCATGGCTGGAGCATCCCAGGATCCCTCTCACCACCCCCCTGCACCCCATCCTGGCTCCCTCCACAAAGACGCCAGATGCTCCGGAATATCCAAGAAACGCTGCATTAGGCAGGTTCGGGATAATCTCAGCTCTCCCGCCCCTTTTCTCCCACAAAGGTCTTGTCTTAATCCCCGCGAGCGAGCGGCTGTGCAGCCCAGCACTCTCCCTTTCAGCCCCTCACCAGCTCCAGGGGGGCTGGGATGGTCACGGAATCCATTACCAGCGCTGGGGGGACCACGGAGCCCATCCCCAGAGCTGGGGCGGCCATGGAATCCATCACCAGCTCCGGTGGAGCCATGGAACCCAGCGCCAGGGGTCTGGGGTGGGCTTGCAGCCCCTGTCATCGTGTCCTGGCCACTGCCCACCCAAATCATCCATGGCCTGGAGGGACCCCACGGCCCCCCGAGGGGGATGGAGCAGTGGGGCTGGCTGGGAACAGGGAGATGGGGGGGACGGAGGGGAGATGTGGGTGCTGCAGCCCCGTGGGTGTCACAGTCACGATTGGAACGGTGGCATCCCTGCACCGCGCCTGGGAGGGGCCGGGAGACCCCACTCACGACCCCCCTCGAGGGGAAGCTTCTCGCGATCGCCTTCCTCCACCCCACTCGTGACCCCACTCAGGTCCCCTGCTCCCGTAGGACCCCCCTGGGCGAGGCCGCGCTGGGGACAAGGGTCACCACCCCCTCCCAGGCCCCCCGCCCCACTCGGGTTTGAATGGAGGGCGTGGGACAGCCCGTGACGTGTCGTGGCACGATTGGCCCGGGCGGGGCGATGACATCACCGGCGCGGCGGGGGGGCTCCGTTCCGGCGCGGCGCGGCCATGGACCGGCGGCGGCGGGGCCCGGGCGAGCAGGTATGGGGGGGCCGGGGACTCCGGGGGCCGGCTCGGCTCGGGGAGCCTCAGCTCGGCTCAGCTCGGCTGGGCTGGACGTGGCTCGGCTGGACCCGGCTCGGGCGGGAGGCAGCCGCGCTCGCTCGGCTATTGTCCGGTGAACGGGCGGGGTCCCCGGGGCTGCCCCGCTCCGGTACCGGGTAGGGGGGGCGGCGGTGACCCCCCCACCTCAATCCCCGGGGTGCCGTGGGGTCTGTCCGCGGCGCGAGTGGGAGAAGGGGTTAACAGGATGCGGAGCGGTGTTTGCCCGGAGTGGGGCACCGGCCCGGCTCACCCCGCCCCACCGGCGGCCGCTCGCCCGCGGCTCCGCCGAGCCCCGCGCTAGGCAGGCGGTGGCCGCAGCCGGCGGTGGTCGCGGCCGGGGCGGTGGCTGCCCGCGGGCCGTCTCGGGGAGGTGGATCCTCCCCGCACTGGAGCTGGTCCAGCGGCACCCCGGGGCTGGCCGGGGCTGGGCGCCGGCGGGTGCTGAGTCAGAGCCTCCCGAAATCCCCGTCCCGCTCATCCCCCGGCGGCCCGGGACACGGCTCGGGGTCCTGGCCGGCCCCCAGCCTGCCCTGATCCCGGTCCCTGCGCGGCACACGCCGCTCCCACGGGTGCCCCGCAGAGAGGGACCTGCCCTGCTCTGCCAGCCCTGGGCACGGGACCGGCTCCCAAAGCCGCTCCGGTGCCCCGGAGAGAGGGAGCTGCGCGGCTGTGCCAGCCCCGGGCGCGGAGCTGAGTCGCAGACCTGCCTGTGGAGCTGGGACTCAGTGGGCAGCGGCCGCTCGCGGGGCGCTGGACTCGTCCCACGCCGCCCCGGTTTGACCCCGGCGGCAGCAGCAGCGATAAGTATAGATGTTTCCAAGCGCCGAATCTATGGATCAGGAGGGCCGTTTCAAAGGGAGCTGGGATCTATAGAGTAGGAAAGCTGTTCCAGAGGGATCGTTAATGGGCTGGGGTGGAAACTGAGGCACAGCGTGCGCTCTCTGCACCCCGGGACGGGTTCGCTCCCCAGCTGAGCACACAGTAAACAAGTCTGTTTTGGACGCAGCTCCCTCGGAAACCGTGGAGCGACTCCAACTGAGGTTTAGCCCCGAGAAGGCTCGGTGGATTTGGGTCTGGGGGTGCAGGGCGAGGCTGCCCTGAGCCCCCATCCCTGGGGCAGCCGCCTGGGTCCGTGCCATGGGCTGCTCGGCCGCGGGGCTCCCTGCGCGGCCCCCCCAGCCAGCCCCGCTGCCGGCGGCGTTGTGCTGACCGTGCCGCTCTCTCCCTTTGTTCGCTGGGTTTTGTCCTGAGCACAAACAGCCGCCGCGGGCCCCCCGAGCCGGCTGCTGTGGGCTGCGGGCCCCCCGGCAGGTAGGGAGCCGTGGCCGCGCTGTGGGAAGTCTGCCTGTTTACTTCCCGTCCACCCCAGCGAAACCGCAGGAATTCGGAGCCCGGCGGAGGTCGGGAGGTCTGTTTAGCCCCGGTATCCTGTCGGACCCCGGCCAGCCCCTGTTGTTGTGAGAGAAGGAGCCAGGACCAGCGAGGAGATAACCTTTCCCCTCGGAGGAGTCCCCTCCTGGCTCTGGAGAGCCGCGGGCTGGTTCGTGGCCCCATAGCAGGAGGATTTATGGTCCTGTGCGTGTTCTGGCGTGTCCTGCCAATAGTTCCTTGCTGAACTCTGGCTACCTCCCGGCTGTTGGCAGTCCCTCGGGGAGCGCTTCTCTGCTTTTGGCACTGGCGTGCCGGCGCTGGGGCGGTGAGTTCCCCAGCCTGGCGCTGCTCCGTGTGCCGAGAGCCCTGGCGAGAGCCGAGCTTTGCCTCCTGCCCTCCCCGTGTGCCATCTCGCCATCCCTTGCCTCTGATGCTCGCTGTCAGTTGCGTTTCAACTTCCAGAGGCTGCTCCGTGCATCCCACGGCTGAGCTGCAGCGGCGTCCCGATGCCAGGGACAGGACCAGACCTGTCACCTCGCCAGGGTGGAGGCGGTCACCAGGGCGCCGGGGCTGCCCGCACTGACAGGACCGTCTGCCCCCAGGCCCTGGGAAGACTCGCTGGGGAGCCCGACCGAGGGTGTGACAGCGGCTCGGTCCCCTCCCGGGGCTGGCGGTGACAGGGTGTGATCCGTGCCCTGTCTCCAGCAGCCGTCTGCCAGGCTCCAACATCAAAGGGCCGCCTGCGCTGGATCCCCGAGGGGCAGCGCTCCCCAAAGTGGGGCTGAGCAGGCTCCGTGTCCTCCCTGTTCCCTTGTGAGGGTTGTCCCTGGCCCTGGGCCGTGTGGGGGGCCCGACCGGCCTGGCCCAGCCCCTGCCCCAGCAGGGTGGGGAGAGCATCCTCTGATCTTGGGGCTGCAGGGACTGCAGAGCCTGGGGTGCTGTGCATGGCAAAGCTGGGGAGCTCGTTTGGAGCCGGCCAGGCCGGCCGAGATGCTTTCCCAGCTTGGCTTTCCCAGCCTGGGAGCGGGACAGGCCGGGGGCAGGACGTGTGGGAGCCTTTCCCCTGTGTGCACCCATTCACTGCCCTCCTTCTTTGAGCCACTTGTCCTACCTTGTCCCCACGGGTGGCTGGTGCTGAGCGGGATGAGATGGAGAGGATGGAGGAGAGGGTCTCGTGGGAAGCCTGCACCATCAGGGCACGTGGTCCTGTCCCACTTTCATGCTGGCTGCAGGATCCCACTGTCCTGCAAGCAGCCACTCATTTACAGGGACAATTGTGTCCCTGGGCACCTGAGGCTCTCGCTGCTCAGAGCTCATGCTAACAAAGGGCTCAGAGGGCAGGTGGGAAGCGGCACAGGGCTGTCAGGACATTTTATCCCTCTTTTTCTCAACCCGTGCTTGCAGGTCTCATCCCCTCCCCTTGCTCCAAAGCACTGCTGGGACTTGGCTGTGCTCTGGGCTCTCTGCCTCAGGCTGGGCAGTGCTGCCAGGTGCCTGGGAAGTCTCTCGGGTTACCAGCAGCTTCCCCTGGTAGGTGGCTGGAGAGGCAGTGCCAGTGATGCCTGGCCTGGTTTCGTTTGTGAAAGCGCCGGCAGCGGGAAATGTCACAGGATCCTCTCTCCCCGAGAGAGAGGAGGAGAAAAGGGCTCTGTGTGCTGCTCCCCTGGGCAGGACGGGGTGGGCAGCGGGGCTGTGCGGGCAGCAGAGCCCCACTGTGCTGCCACCACCCCTCGGGGTGAGCTGGGAGGGAAACATCGAGGGGTGGGGAGAGATTTTGGCCGCTGTGAAACAGCTCTGAGGGCAGGAGTGTTGAGGGGGGATGTGGTGCTGGTCTGGGGGCTGTGATGGTGATGGAGCTCTGCTGGCCGGGACGGCCACGCTCCAATGTCCCGCTCCAACCTCCCGGTGGCCCCTTCGCCGCGGCTTGCAAAGTATCTCACAAATGCTGAACTTGGCCCCGAAATCTAAATACGAGGCAGGGACAGTCCCCAGATGGCCTAAATCAGCAGCACGGTTGCCTGGCCCAGCTGGGGAGCTCGCCGGGAGTGTTTGTTTTATGGAAAACCAAAGGCTGGAGGAATGCCGGCCTGGAAGGAGACTTGGGAAGGGCAAGGCGTTCGTGCCGCGCACACGCGCTCGGCCGGGCACGCACGAGATCCTGCGAGGGAGCAGGCCCTGCCCAGGCCGTGCCTCTCTGGGGTGGTTGGATCCTGCACGGGGCTGGACAGGGAGCGTGGCCACGTGCCACCGGTGCCGTGCCACGGGGCATTCCTGCCCTGGCCGGCCCCACACGGAAGCCATGCACGGGAGGGCTGGGCACCAGGACTTTGCACCCGCGTGGGGTCAGAGTCCATCCTGCCTGGCCACAGCCTGCCTGAGGTCCTGTTGCTCCTGCAGGGGACACGGGGGTGTCACAGGGTGGATTTGGGGAGAGACGGGGGGTGGAACCCTCCCCTGGCCATGCTGGGAGCTGGGGGGGTAGGTCCTGCGGTGCCCAGCTGAGCAGGGCTGGGTTGTGCCGGGACCGTGGCAGCCCGTGGGCTGTGGGGACAAGGCTGGCTCCCAGCCGGCCCTGTGGTGCCACTCAGCTGCACCCTGGGGCTGGGTGGGCAGCGGGGGGATGTGGCCCCCGCCCTAGGGGAGGACAGACGTGTCCGTCCCTTCCCCGTGCGTGTCACGGGGCCGCGGGTGTCGCCGGCGGTGCCCGGAGGGAGGAAACGGGCGGCCACGAGCCCTTCCTCCCCGGCAGCCCCTCCCGGGACCACCTGGGGCTGCCTGGCGCCGTGGGAAGCGCGGGATGCCGTGACGTGGTCTCTGTCCTTGTCCCCTCCCGCGTGGCTGCGGGCACTGGGCTGGACGGGCCGGCCGTGGCACCGAGGGGGCCGTGGGAAGGAGTACCGTGCCTGTCCACACCCCACCCGGCCGGAGCCCTCGTCATTTGTGTCACCTCTGAGTCACAGCCGTGACGATGAGGTGGCCGGGGAGGGTGGGGATGGTCACGCAGGGGCTCCGCGCCGGGGAGCAGTGAGGATGGAGGGGTTTGGGGTGCAGCAGGGCTGTGTCCCCGTGTCCCCGTGTCCCCGTGCTGCCGAGCATGAAGAGGTACCCGTGGGGTGCCCGTGTGTCCCCTGCTCCGGCTCCTCCCGTCCCCCTGCTCGGCGTGCGGTGCCTCCCGGGGGCTCTACGCCCTCCTCACACACTTCCTGCCGTCTGTTTCCAATTCCTTCTGGCGTCTGCTCCTTTCTGCTTTCTTCCAATTAAAAAAAAAAAAAAAAAAAAAATCCCAGGCATCTCGGAGAGTGACTCGTGGAGGCTGGAGCTGCTCTGGCGGGCTGGGGCTGCACGGGGAGGGGACAGGGGTGCCCTGCATCCCTTTTGGTGCCCGTTCATGTGGGGCACAGGGGCGGGGATCATCCCAAAGCATCCCTTTGCCCAGATGTTTCTCCTTTAGATGTGTGCTCCGTGGATAGGGTCTGGAACCCGCTCGTTCAGGGGGTGTGGGGAGCTTGGGATGGGTCTGAGGATGTGTTCCCTGTGTGGAGGATAGTCCCGAGGGAACCAAGCAGCCTGTGGGCATGGGGCCACATTTTGCAGCTTGGCAGGGTGAAGGCCTCGAAGCCTGACCGTGCCCCTCTCTCCTCTCCCCCAGGAGTGACCCGTCCGTGACGCCGGTGGGATCCCAGCCGTGGAGCCCCAGCTGTGAGCAGCGGCCGGGCCGGCGGGACACGGAGCAGCTCTGCCCAGCCTCCCCCTGCCGCCACCATGCCGATCCTCAAGCAGCTCGTGTCCAACTCGGCCCACTCCAAGCGCCGCTCGCGCGCCGACCTGACGGCCGAGATGATCAGCGCGCCCCTGGGGGACTTCCGCCACACCATGCACGTGGGGCGCGCGGGGGACGCCTTTGGGGACACCTCCTTCCTCACCAGCAAGGCCGGGGAGCCGGTGCCGGAGGCGGGCGAGGAGCCAGGAGCCTCCAAGCCCGGCCTGCTGTCCCGCCGCTTCCGCAGCAGCAAGCGCTCGCAGTCGGTGACGCGCGGGGACCGGCGGGACATGCTGGGCTCGCTGCGGGACTCGGCGCTCTTCGTCAAGAACGCCGTGTCCCTGCCCCAGCTCAACGAGAAGGAGGTGGACAGGAGCGCGGGGCAGCTGCCCAAGAGCCTCTCCTCCAGCCCCGTCAAGAAGCCCGAGGAGATGAGCCCCGAAGAGCAGCAGCGCCCGAACGGGGCGGCCGCGGGGCCGCTGAGCCCCAGCTTGGACGAGCGCGACTTCGGGGACATCACCGAGCTGCCCGTCGTGGTGGCCAAGGGCGGGGCGGGCATGAAGCACGCTGAGTCCATCATGTCCTTCCACATCGACCTGGGGCCCTCCATGCTCGGGGACGTCCTGAGCATCATGGATAAGGATCAGTGGGAGCAGGACGAAGACCCCGAGGAGGAGGAGAGCCACGAGGAGGAGGGGGAGGCCGCCCTGCCCGGCTCCCCGGTGGTGACGGTGGTGGCCCCGCCGAGCCAGAGCCCGGCCCGTGGCCCCAGGGACAGCAGTCCAGCATCCAGCTGCACCTCGGGGCCCGAGGAGCGCAGCCCTGTCCCCAGGCCACCGAGCCAGCGGGGGGCACCCCCAAAACGCCCCGACAGGGAGTTCTCGTTTGCTGATGAAGATGATGATGAGATACGAGTATAAAGGAGGGCGGCCGAGCCGAGGGTCTGGTTCTCACTGCGGTTCTTGGACACGGGGTTGAACACCCCGGTGCTGCAACGGTGGCACCAGGGAAGACTTGACTCCTCCCCCCTTCCCTCTCCCTGTGACCTGGCAGGACAGCAATCTGCTCCCAGGGCCGGGGGTGTTCCTGACATCTCTCAGCACTTCCCGGGAGGGGGAAGCACACTCGATTTTGGTTCTTTCTGTTGGACTTTGGATATTAGCTCTTGTTTCCTGCCCCCCTGCCCATGTAAAGCAATTTAGGATCCAACAAGATGAGCCTTTGGACTTCTAGCCTCTTTAGTAATATATATATTTTTTCCGCCGTACGGTTTTTACTGTTTTCTGATTTGTACTTAACTTTCTTTACTCTCGCTTTTGGTTTTAACGGAGGGGAGATTCCCCGTGAGGAAGAACTTGGCTCTGGAGCTCAGAGGTGGCCCAGGACTGTGGGCAGCTTCGCCTCCCTGGGTTGCTTGTGGACTTCCTGCAGACCAAGAGCCTCCAGCCCTGTGCCATGGCAGGTGCTCGGATGGATGGATGGATCCATCCCAGATGCTGGACCCTCCAACCAGCCTGGGGGTCACAGGGATGCCCCCAGCCAGCCCAGGCACCAGCTGCTCCCGGGGGAGCTGATGGAAGCATGGGTCTGTCCCCCGTGGGAGGAGCACCTGGAAGCCCCCTGAGCCAGGGAGCCCCGATGTCCCAGTGCCGTGGGGCCGGTGGGGCGGGGCAGTGCCAACGCTGGGCTGGTGCAGGACCAGGAGGTTTTATACCACGTATGTACAGATGCAAAGAATAAAAGGAAATGGTAGTGACTGCAGTGGCCTGAGTTCCTGAGGGCTGAGATCTGTGGGGACCTGCTCCCCAAACAGGACTAGTTCCCTGTGCTGCCGCCGTCCCCGGCCCCTGTCCTGCTGCCTCCACCTTGGAGCCCATCCCTGGCTGGGATCCTGCCCTGGCCGGAGTTTGGGCACCTGCAGTGGCCGTGCTTTCTGGGCCCACGGCGGGAGGAAGTGGGGGAGCTCCCGCTGGCCGGATCTGGCTCCGGGCTGGGCCCCTCCGGCCAGGCGGCTCCTGCCAAGGGACAGCTCTGCCAACACTGCTCTGCCCCCAGCCCTGCTCCCTCCCTGCCAGCCAGGGAGGAGGGGAAGGTGGTGGTGGGGCAGGACTGGCTGTCCCTGCTCCCACGGGCTGGGGGCCAGGGCTGGGGGTGCCCTGGGGGCTCCTGTCCCTGCGGGGTGTCCATAGCCCTGGATGATCCTGGCATGGAGAGCAGGGCAGGTCACTCCCATCCTGCAGCCAGCTTCCCACAGCTCAGCCACTGGTGTAATGGGGCTCTGCCAGGGCCAGGACTGCCTTCCCATTCCAGCCCCAGAGCCCTTCCCAAGTGGGTGGAGAGCTTGGCTCTTCTGGGAGTACCAGTCAGGACCTCCTCACCAGTGATGGAGAGGGAAGGATTTGGCCCCCACAACATCTCCCAGCCCTAGGAGGGGCTGGATGCCCCAGTCCTCCCAAAAGGATGTGCCCTGGTGGAGCTGGTGGGAGCGGGCAAGTGCTGTGCCACAGTGGGGACACAATGGGGTCCTGTGCGTGCGTTTGGCAGGACAACACCCTGGGCAGGGGACATTGGGCCATTGTCTGGGACAGGGAGAACAACAGCAGCTGCAGCTGGTGGCTCTGAGCTCACCAGGCTGCCTCTGCCCCCATCGCCATGGCACAGCCCCCTGTCCTGTGCCAGGGTCCATCCCCCGAGCCGATGGTCCCTGTCACTGTCCCCTGGGGGGTCACCAGGCTGCTGGGGGACACCTGGCTGCTCCTGTCCCTGAGGGATGCTCTGACACCAACCGGCAGGGCAGGGTGGCTCCCTGGGCTTTGCACCCCCTGCCAGGACCCCCTCGCTCCCGGGGGCTGTGGGGAGGGGCCAGCCCCGGGGTGACCCTTCACGGGCCGCCTGCGACCGTCACTTGGTGGCCCTGATCTTTGTGACGCCTGTCGGCTCCAGGCCCCGGCTCGGCAGCGCCGCGGTGCCGCGAGCCGACGGGGCAGAAAGTGTGTGCTGGGCTGCTGAGCACACCCGGGACACGGCCCCGCTCCACGGGACACGGCCCTGGAATGCCATGAGGGAGCAGGGACAGGGTCAGCCCAATGGGCCCCGGGCTGGTGAGGTGTAACGCTGTTCCCCAGAAGCACTGCTGCCAGGCTGGTGTCCGGCCAGTGCCTGCTGCAGGGGAGCACAGGCTGCGCCTCCAGGCTCCCAAACCACCCAGGGGCACAGCACGGGGTGGGACATCCCATCACACCCCTGGGGTGGGGCCCAGGACGTGGCCACACAGGTGTGTGGGGTGGGTGCCCAACGCCCTGTGCGGGATCACAGCCCCCACGGGCAGCGCTCGGGCAGCGCTGGTCCAGTGCCTTTATCCCAAGTGACAGAATGGGAACAGGTCTCCATCCACATGTGTCAGCCCACGGCGCCCCGGGCGGTGCACGGGGCTGGGGGAGCCGCGTGACGAGGAGGAGGAGGAGGAGGATGGAGCTGAGGTTAAATCCAGGGGCTGGCTGGGCTGCGGCTCCGGGAAGCACCGCGGCCGTGCCGGGAATGTGCCACTGCAGCCTGGCACACGGGAAAGCCCCCAGCCCAACTGCTGGCACTGGACAGGCTTCTGAGCAGCCTGAGCTAGTGGAAGGTGTCCCTGCCCATGGCAGGGAGTGGAATGAGATCAGCTTTGAGGTCCTTCCCAACCCAAACCATTCCATGACTCACAGGGATGCACAGTGACCTGGCTGTCCCCTCCAGGAGCCCAGAGTCTGTCCTGCCAGGTGCTGGAGAGTGGGACTGGTGCTGCAGTGCAACCAGAGCTCAAAGCACCCAGAGCACAACAGAACCCACACAGGATCCATCCCATGCTATGGGAATGCACAAGCCACGTTTGGCTCCATGTTTAAGGCCTTGGAGTGAGGGGTTAACCCAGCTCCTGGCCAGCCCCAGCTGGTTTTTCTGGAGCAAAAGCAGATGTGGGAGCAGGGAGGCAGTGAGGGGGATGGATGGGGCTGGGGGCTGAGCTCCCCAGCTGCGGCACCAGGCAATCAGGGCTGCAAATTGGGATCAGATGTGGCAGCTTCCCGCTCTAAATGGAGCGCTCCGGGCGGCTGCCTGGGTTGGCTTTGCTCTGGCTGGGGAGGAGGAGGAAGAGGAGGGTTTCTGTTGCTGGGGCCCAGGGTGGTTTCAGGGACCCTCAGAGTGCGGTGCTCCCTTGGCAGAGCTGTGTTTTCCTTGGGCAGCCCCACTGCTGGGTCCTGTGAGCTGTGCTTCTCTGCCTCTTTCCCTGCTTGCTTCCCTGTCTGTGCCGGGCTGGAGGGGGCTCTTGCTGGAGCAGGGGTGATGCAGGAGTTGGTGGCTGGTGTGGAGAAGATCAGGTTTGACCTGGAGGCTGATGTGGAGCAGCAGAGAGGAGCTCGGCCCCTGCGCTTCCCAGGGGTGGACAGTAAGTTGGGGACAGGGTCCTGTGGCTCCCTGTGCTGGGGAGGACTCAGACACCTCCAGGGCACCCAGACCTTGGCAGTGCCAGGTGAACTGAGCCCCCTGTGCCCAGTGGGTGCTCCAAACCTTCTCCGCACCCAGGAAAGCTCCTGCTGGTGTGTCCTGAGCTGGGGGTGCAGGGAGGTCCGGGGGGGCTGTGGGGGACAGGCTGGCTGTGACAGGGGTGCCATGGCCAGGAGTGCAGGGCCCCTCCAGGGACAGAGGCAGGGCCAAGCCCGTGGTGTGCAGGCACTGGCTGCGGGGGCTCTGCAAGAGAGGCGACGGCTGCGACTTCCTGCACGAGCACGACGCCAGCAGGATGCCCGAGTGCTATTTCTACACCAAGTTTGGTAGGTGCCTGTCCTCTCCCAGCACTCCTGTCCCTCCGGGCTGGCCTCGAGCAAGTGCCTGATGCCACCTCCTGACTGCGGGGAGAAGTGCCACTGTCACCCTGGCGGGTGCTCCCCCAGTGCAAACCCGGGTGCTCTCAGGGCACCCCAGTTCCTCCCATCCAGCCCATCCCTGAGCGATTCCCTCTCTGGTTTGTTTATCCCACCCATCCTGTCCCTTGCTCCCGCAGGCGAGTGCAGCGACAAGGACTGTCCCTTCCTGCACGCTGATGCCACCCCCAGCACCATGGGCTGTCCCTGGTACGACCGCGGGTTCTGCAGGCACGGTGAGCTGCTGGGACGGGAGAGGGGGCTGCCCGTGTGCCCACCAGTGATGTGGGGCAGGACCCCGCTGCTGGCACAACCTCCTGTCCCCTCCGAGGTGGCCGAGCCACAGTGGGATGACCCACAGCGTGGCTGGGAGTGGGGCAGGAACCCGGCTGGGAAAGCTGAGCTCCCAAAATGCCAGTGTGACGTGTCCCTGCCAACCTGTGCTCTGCGTGGCAGGTCCCCGGTGCAAGTACAAGCACACCCGGAGGGTGATGTGTGCCAACTACCTGGTGGGGTTCTGCCCAGAGGGACCCAAGTGCAAGTTCGTGCAGTACGTACTGGGCAGGCTGGGGGGGCCTGGAACGCGGCTGGGGGGGACAGTCCCCTCTCTGAGGGGGCAGAGGGGGCCCTGTGATCCTGACAGGGTCAGGGATGAGGCTGCTTTGGGACTTGAACCGTTCTGGTCTCTCCCCACATCCAGCCAGGGTTTGCAGTGGGTGGGCAGGGAGCAGTCCTGGTCCCCACGGGGGTGCCTGTGCTAGCCCCAAGACATCCCTGAGAGGTTGTGGGAGCCACAGGAGGATGTGGGGGTGCCACAGGGAGTAATTGCCTGTCCTCTGTGTCCATCCCCAGCCTCAAGGCCGGGCTGATGACGAGCAGCACAGAGCCATCCAAGGTGAAGCCCTTTCCTCTGTGCACTGGGGTGATGCTCCAGCTGCCCCACAGCTCCCGTGGGGCAGCAGCTGCCACCTGCCCCTCCATTTCCCCCAGGAAGCTGGCTGTGCATGGCCCCTGGTACAGCGGGATCTGGCTGCCAGGGAGGAGAGGGGAGCCCAGGACATGGCACCCACAGAGCCACCTCCACGAGTCACCCAGCACCTGGCAGCGCATCTGTGGGACATCAGTGGCTGCCCTCCAGCCCCACAGAGCCTGCTGGAACGAGGCACCTGCTCCAAGGTGAGTGTTTGTGGGAATGGGAGGGCTGGGAGTGGTGGGCTCCCCTTGGAGGGGGGGGATGGTGCAGAACAGCATGTGGCGTGGGGACAGGCTCCCACACTACTCCCAAAACAGCCTCTTTGTCTGGAAATATGCATTCTCCCTGGGCTTTTTTTGGGCTCTAGAGCCGGTCCCTGAAGAGCTGGGGTGGGAACCAGCTGGGAAGGAGGGATCTACTGGGACTGAAATAACCTAACTGCAAGGGGAGGGACTTGGGTGGTGATAAACCAGTGGGAGAGCCCTGGAGAGCGGAGAATCCCTCCTGGGTCAGAGGGTTGGTGCAGCTGGAGGTCTCGGGGTGCTGTTTCCAGATGGGAGCTGTGCTGGAATGTGGCACGGCTCCATGAACCCACTCCCTGGGAAATGATGTGAAAATGAGCACGTGGGAACGTGGCAGGGGGTCGATGCAGCACAAATCCAGTGCCTGCCTCTCCCTGTGCCCCCAGAGCAGACAGGTTGGTCCCTGCACTGGTGAGAGTGGGAGGACTCAGCTGGAAATGCTGCTGGGGAAGTGACTCCAGTGCTCCCACATGGATGGGGAAGGAGGACACCCTAAAAACACGATGGAGATGGAGACACAGCACTGGGGCAGCGGCTGGACTAGAAAAGCCAGTTGGGTTTGCTCAGCACCAGCTCACAATTTGCACAAGCAGCAGAGAAATCACTTAATGCAATGAAAATTGGACTGCCCACAGCTGGCTCTGGCCAGGCCAGGCCAGCAGCAGCAGCACCCCCTGGGAAGGGGGCACGAAGCACCGTGTTTGAGATCACAGACCAAGCAGGAAAGGAAAATCCACACAGGTTTTTATTGCTGGTGAGAGAATTTCTTGTGAACCACCCCTGACACAGCACGACTGCACCTCGCTGAATAAAGAGCTCGGATTTTTAATTCTTGGCTTTATTTTTCATGCCTGCAACATGACCAACCCTTTCCCAGACATGTTTGGGAATGGCAGGCTCCAACTAGCACTCCTGACTCCTCGTCTGTCTGATGCAGACACGGGTTTGCCCTTTGGGCACAACAGCTCCTCCAGTGGATTTTCATCCTCCAGGAACAGGGCACTGTGGTCTGAGCCCCGACAAAGGTTCTGACCAGTCCCACCAGTACAAGGGGTGAGTATAAACTGGGATTTGCTGGGTGAACTTAAAGGGAATTGCTATTGGGATTGAAGCCCACCCTGCCACAAACCTCGCTGCTCACACTCAGCTACAGCACAATGTCAATTAATCTCTAATAACAGCTCAGGACAGGAGCCTGTCCTGTGTCAGCTGTGCCAAAGTGAGGGATTTGGGATTCTGCAGACTCCCAGAGCTCTACTGCACACACAGATCTCTCAGGGGTAGCTCTAATGCTTCCTCATTTCTCTACTGAAAGCTCCCTGACCCACAGTGGGTGAGCAGGGGCTGTCACTGTCACCCCTCTGCTGCACGAGGGCCCCTGCCAAGCACTCCCCCCTCCTTCCAGCCCCTGTCCTGACAGCAAACAGGCCTCTGCTGCTGGGAATCCCTGCTGGGACAGCGGCTGTGAGCACTTCTGCTGCCTCCCGAGGAGCTGTGACCGCCCCGTGGGTGCTGCTCCAGCTCCTTCAGTGGTATTTACGCCAGCGGTGACGCTCTGCAAAAAACAGGGAGAGAAACGTTCCACTGTCAGCACAAAGGGAGGTTTGGGGGCTCCAGGGGTGGGCTCTGCCCAGTTCCTGATGAGCCTCACTGTAGCTTCTCTGTGCATAAGCAAGGGGAAACCACCCCACCACCAGCAAAGCCCTTGTCATGTGTGAGGAAAGCCAGGGAATGGGAGGTCTGTGTTGGAACATCCCCTCCCTCTGCTCTGTGCAGGGTTTCTAAGTGCTCCTGACATTCCTGGTGCTCCCCAAGGGAGAAGCTGTGAGTCAGCAACTGTTATCACCACTTTTAGTGGCTAAATTCCTCTGCTTACCCCCAGAATCCTGCTCTCTCAGCCCTGCTATTGGTCTTAAATGTGGAGTATTTGAATTATTCCAGAGCTTTAATTAACAGGAATGGTAAACAGACTTTCCAACTGCTGCAAAAGGGAGAATTCCTGAAACAAGAGAGACCCCAAGCAGGAAATCTTACTGAAGTGCTGATAGTTCCAGCTGTAGCTGAGCAGGCAGTACCCAGCCAGGAGCATGGAGATCCCAGCGGGTCCCCCCCTCCTCACGTTGATGTATTTGGCATAATAACTGTTCCAGGCTGTTGGGAGACAAAGGAAAGGGACAAATCATGTGCTGCTCTTTGGAATTCCCTGGTTTCCATGCAATTTTCCAAAGCCAAAATGTTGGGTCTGTTCATTTATCCACGCAGAGGGCAGGGTTAGGTGGGATATTGGGAAGGGTGGGGAGGCCCTGGCACAGGTTGCCCAGAGAAGCTGTGGCTGCCCCATCCCTGGATGGGGCTTGGAGCAACCTGGGCTGGTGGAAGGTGTCCCTGCCCACGGCAGGGGGTGCAACTGGATGAGCTTTAAGGTCCCTCCCAACCCAAACCATTCCATGGCTCGCTGCTTTAGAAGGACCAGGGTGGCCACTCGGACCAGGCTGCAGCAACTCAGGGCAGTGGGATGACTCTGCCCCAAAAGGCTGGAATTCTCACCTTTCTGCGCTGCTCCAAGCAGCCCCTGGGCAGAGAAGTGGCAGGTGCTGATCCAGGTGTGCAGCTCCCCCAGCCTCACCTCCAGCAGGGGCTTCTCTGAGAGGGGACCTGGGGGGTGACAGTCACGGTGGGCACAGGCAGGACAAGGTGCGTGGTGTTGGTGCTCCCTGTGCTGTGTGGGGAGCAGGGAGCTGGGATCTGGCACGGCATTCGGGCTTGGGAGCGGAGAGGGAACTGTCTGTCCCGCAAAGTTTGGGCTCCACCAGCCTGAACGTGCAAGAACCTGACTCCAACCCCCACAAAACAGTGAACTGTGTGTTCTGCGGGCTGGAGGAGGCACAGATGACCTCCTGGGCTTCTCCTGGATCCCTTCCTGGACAAGCCCAGCAGTTCAGCATTCCCTACCCCCTCCTCTCCCATTCACACCTCCCATTCCAGCCTGACAAATCCCAGCACAGAGACTTTGGTTACCTCGAGGTCCCTCTGAGGAACTGCCCCTTGGTGTCTTCACCGTGATCCCCACATCTTCTTGGAAATGATTCCCTGGAAAGATTCTCAGCCCCTCACACTCAGGATACAGGTCTGGAAACCACTCCAAGCCCGTGGCTCCTGCCCAGGCGCTCCTGCCAGAGGCCTGGGATGAACAGGTGGGCTGGAATTCGGGGGAGTGGAGCCAGGACTGGTGCAGGGCCAGCCCTGGGTCTCTCCCTGTGCCCAGGACGGGCTCGGACACTCCAACCATCTGCTCCCTGCTGTCCCTGAGCCTCTCCAGGCTGCTGAGCTCATTCTTGGATGTCCCCTTGCTGTGACCTCCCAAACCCTGCGTCACTGACAGATGGAGGTTCTTGGGATGCAAAGCAGACACGGGGGCTTTATATCCCACACCACCTTCCCGGTGCACCTGCTCCCCTCCTGCCACGGATTGCTCTGTTCTCTCCTGCTGAGCGAGGTCACCGGGGCTATTTCTGCCCTCGGGGGGTTCTTCAAGTACTTTTGTTGCCTTTAAGCTGCTTTTTCCTCCCTTTTTGCTGCCGGGCAGGCCCCTCACAGCCCCCGGGCTCTGAGTGGATTTTGGAGCGGTGTTGCCCCGCTGTGGGTGGGCAGCACGGCCGGGATCCGTCCCTGCCGCTGCTCCCGCCCTGCTCCTGGGCTCCTTCTCCCGGACCACCCTGGCGCGGTGCTTCTCGATCACCACCTTCACTCCATCCTCCAGCCTGCGGGGAACATCCTCCACCTCCTCAGGGGGCAGATCCAGGGCTCTGGCCACGTCCTGCACCGCGGGCTCCACACCCCGCCCGCTCCGGGGGGCGGCCAGACCCGGCCCGGGGTCGGTACCGGGGGCCGGGCGGGGACCGGGGGCTGAGCTGGGCCCGAGGATGCTGCCGGGGGCCGGGCCGGGGGTCGGGCGGGGACCTGGGCTCGGTGCCGACCCCGGAGCAGTGGCGGGGGTCGGGCTCGTTTTCCTTTTCGCTCCCGATCCCGGTCTCGAAGTGCTGACGGGGGCCGGGCGGGGAACAGGGCTCGGTGCTGACCCCAGAGCAGCAGGGGGGGCCGGGCGGAGTCTCTTTCCTGGTCCCGGTGCCGATCCCGGTGCCGATCCCGGGGCGCTGTCGGGGCCCGTGCGGTGGCTCGCTTCCGATCCCGGTCCCGATCCCGGTCCCTGCCGCGGGGCGGCCTTGCAGTGCGGGAGGTGTGTGCGGAGCCGCTTGAATTCCCTGTGGCAGTGCGGGCACCGCTCCGTTCCCGATCCCGTTCCCGATCCCGTTCCCGTTCCCGACTTCGCCATCACCGCCCCCACCCCCCCCCCTCCCCACGCGCCCCCGGGGCCGGCGCGCGGCCGTGACGCCACAAAGGCGCGTCCCCTCCCCCGTCCCCTCACTGTGACGTCACGGGGGCGAGGCGGCGGCGGCGGAAGCGGCGGCGGGGCCGGGCCGGGCCGCGCTGCCCCCCCAGCCCTCAGAGACCCTCAGAGACCCCCAGAGACCCCCCAGAGACCCCGCTCAGCCCCCTCGCGGCCCCCGCGCCGCCATGAGCTGCCGGCAGCCGCTGCCGAGCGAGCGCGGAGCCAGACAGAGGTGGGCGAAGGGAACGCGGCCTGAGGGCGGGGGAGGGGGCGAGGGGCCCTCCCGGAACAGCCCCGAGGGCTCCGCACCGGGAGGACCGGGAGGGCGGCGGAGGGGGTGGGTTGAGGCGGGGCGGGGGGGGGTAGAGCGGGAAGGAGCGCTGGGAAGGTTAAAGTGGGGCTGGGGGAGTGCAGGTTTGGGTGGGGGGTGTTGGGTGCGATCGGGAGGTCGAAGGGACGTAGGGGATGCAGAGGGTGCGGGGGGCTCGGGGGGGTGTTCATGGGGTCGGTGGGGAAGGGGAGGTGGTGAGGGGGAAAGCAGAAGGCCCACGGGCCATGTGGGAGCTGGGCCACGGGTGCCCAGGGCGGCGGGGGCATGGGATGGTTTTGGGCTGGAAGGACCTTGAAGCCCGTCCACTCCCATTCCTGCCATAGGCAGGGACACGCTCCACGGAGCAGGTTGCTCCAAGCCCCGTCCAACCTGCCCTGGAGGGGCTGAGGGATCAAGAGGCAACACAGCCGTGTCCCTTCCACGGAAAGTGGTGCCGGGAGAGGGGGGAGCCGCTGGACAGCGTTTGGTGCCTGTGGCCCCGGGGTGGGGGAGCTCTGGGCTGTGGGCGTGGGCCAGATCCCTCAGCTGAGTGTGCTGTCTGCGAGAAAAGCTCCGGCTAAAAATACCTCCCCCGAGCCTGTTTTGACTCATTCGAGCACGGATTAATTTTAGGCAGCAGCAGAGCTCCATCCTGCGCTCTGGGTGGTGCTGAGATCCTGGGTGACTTGTCATGTTTGCACGGTGGGAAGAAGCCTTTGATGTCGTCATTAAAATTCTGCGGGCACGGAGTGGGGGGGCGGGAATTCTGGGATACTGCTGTGGATCGGCTGCCGTGTTGATGTCACAGATCCATGGAATGGGTTGGGTTGGGAGGGACCTTCCACTGGCCCAGGCTCCAAGCCCCGTCCAGCCTGGCCTTTGAGGTCTTCCCTGGATTGTCTCTAATATGGGAATATCAGCACCACCCCCATCCCATTACCCTCCTTCAAACCCCCTTTTTACTTTGATGCCTGCAAAGATCTGGATAAAAATTAGGTTGTTGGTGTGTTAAAGCTCTTACTGATCAGGCCAGACAGTACAGGCTGTCATGGGAGGGTACAGATACACCAGAAACAGGGAAGAGTTTGTTTTCCATGGGGTGTTTCCTCACAAAACTCAATTTTTACACAGAAAATAACGTTGCTCAGGAACATGACTTGACTTCAGATGCTGCCAGAGCGGAGAGACTCAAGAAGTCGTGGGTGCTGAGTGCAGGCTCGTGTGAGCAGCCTAAATTAATTGGGTGCTTATTGAAATGTGGTCACTGCCACTCATCCCGTTCCCGGGTGTCACTCCAGGCCCCAGGATTATTTTTGGATGTGCAAGGCTGAGAATTGTTCCTTGAGTTTATTTAGAAAGATGGTTTTAATGTGAGTCCATGTCCCTTAAAGTGATTTCTTGGGAGAAATGGGATCCTTTTGTCTCTACCCTCCGACAGCAGCTAAAAGGACAACGTGGGAGTCCACAGCACCCCAGGGGCTTGGATACATCCTTCATTAATTTACCAAACTTTCCTGCTTTTGTTTTTGGTAGAGGTGCCTTCAGAGAACAAACCAGAAGGTATATCAGCGGGCTGATAATTTATTTTCTCCCATTCTCCCCGCATTTTCCTTCAGGAAGAGGAGAAGGAATGGCAATGAAGAGGATGGTCACGTTCCCCAGACAAAACGTAGCACCAGGAATTCTGTCCTGCAGGACTCATGGGACACTGAGGTGAGAGCCTTCCCAGGCAAAAGCAGTTTCCTTTCCTGCTGAGCATCCTGTGAATGTTTTCATGGGGAGCAGTCATGAGAACACTTTTATTTCTCAGCTTTGTGTGAGAGGTCGGGAAGGTTGACTTGGTGACGTCAGGCATTGGAATCTGTCAAAGGCGGTTTGGAAATCAGCATGTTTCCAGTGAACCTGGCTATCCCTGCCTGAGTATCTCTGGGAATAAATATCAAATGCAAGGGAAGACATGAGGAAACAATCTGTGCCACGTCCAGTTTTTGCTGTGTGAGATGAGTTGTGTCCAGAGCTGATCTACGATGAGGGTGGATTACAAGTGTGCGCGGTCACTTTGCCTGACCCACTCTCCAACTTTGCATTTACTTATATTTAGGTGATTATCTGTGGTAGAAAGTTTAAAAAAAAAAATCAAACCCAACCAGTGCTTATCTGGTGTTTAAAAAACACTCTGCTGGAGCTGGTCAGTTTAAGCAAAACGTGCTTGTTCACAGCCAAAACATTTGGACTCAATTTGGTTTTCACTCGTATTTTCCACGTGGTTTTTTGGTGGACGTGGGATAAACTGTCTCTTGTCTTCTTACCCCTCACCAGACAGGTGTTGTCTTGGTGCAGTTTGTGAGCTGTGAGGTATATTTTCTTCCAAAAAATGCTGATTTCCCAACTGCTGCCGGGTTTCCTGAGTTGTTGCCTGTATGACTCACCTCAGAATTCACTGTGAGCATTTCTGCTGAGCGATGTCCTTCTGTTGCAAAACACTCATGGCAAAGGGGGTGCAGAGCAGAGGCTCCCTCCTGGTCTGTGCCCCCAGAAGTTAATGAAATTTATTTCTTTTAAGGTTTTTGAAATACCCTTGTTTTTCTTCTCACTTTGAAGGGGCAGTGAGTAATTACAGGCTGAATTATCACTGAATTAACTGAATTATTGCAGTTCTATTGAACTATTAACTGCTCTTTTACATTCCTGTTGTGAGGGAGGCTTTTTAACCTGGTCGCCTGTACAAGTAGCTGGTGTGATAGTGACACTGCTGGGAAGTGGTTTAGGAGCTGATGTTCATCATGAAGGGATTTTCTGGGGTCGAAACTGTCCTGGATCGTGTGTTGCTGTTTCTCCACCAGCGAGACTTGGCATTTTTGGGTGTGAGGGGGCGAACCATCGCTAGTTTGTTGCCATCTGACACCGAATCACTTGTCCAACAGGTCAAACCCCTCCGCGTGTGTAGAGTAGTTAAAGGCTAAAGGAGCTTTGTGGCGGGAGGAGGAAGAATTTAGTGTGGAACGAGGGATTGAAGTGGGAGTAAATGAAATTAAGGATATCAGGAAAAACCTGGATGGTGAGTGGCAGAAGCACCTTTGCTTGTCGTGTAAACACCTGGTGTTTGGGCAGAGCCACGGGAAGCAGGACTGGCAGTGGTTGTGTGGCCACACGGGAGGGGTGACCTTAACCCTGTGCCGGTTGTTTGGGTGCTGGAAGGGATCAGCACGGGCATGGCTGACCCAGGGCAAGGTCACTGCTCAGGCTAACAGAGACTGTGCTTCTTGCATGCTCTTGCCTTGGAAAAGCCTGGGTTTAACACATGAAAGCCTGGTGTGAGGCAGGGTGAGCTCTCACTGCTGAGGAATGTGCCCGCTGGACACTCACAGCTTTCCGAACGCCACCGTCCCCTCTCTCCAGGGAACAGCACTCACAATGTTGTCTCCTGATGAATAGAGCTTTTTCTCTCTTTTTTTTTTTTTATTTTTTTTCCCCCTTGTTTTCTCGCTGGATCACAGAACTGAGCATGCCCAGAAATTCAGGCCACGAGATTAAATCAGTATTATTTGAATGTTTGTGAAGGACTTCCTGTGCCAAAGGGAGAAATCCTTGTGCTCATTGTGCACGAGTGCTTCCGATTGGTGTCGCTTGGAAGGTCTCAGCCAGTTGTAGCACTCTTATTTAGTTTCCTGATACTTTGCTGTTTGCAAAGACACCTCTTGATGATTAAAAATCCTGGCTGGCTTTAGGATGTTGAACTGGAAAGTGTGTGAGGGAGAAATGTGTGACCCTCACTTTGAATCCTGCTGCTCATCTGAGCTGGATCTGATTCCAAAGGCTTTGCTGTTTTCTCCCCCTGGATTGTCCTTTCACCCAGGACAGGCAGCACCCGACTGATTTTTACAGGAGGGGAAACTGGGATATTCTTCAGTCTCTATCAGTGCTGCTTCTTGGCAAATTGCTGCGAGGATGTGCCATTCCTGCCTCTCCTGAAGAAGCCACTGCCAGGTGACAGGCTCCCTGAGGGGACAGGAAACCTCTGGAGTTCAGTGCATGGACTGGCACAGGGCAAACACTGCACTGGAACCACGGCCAGTGTTAAACATTAGCGAGGCAGAGCCTTTGCCACGGAATCTCCCTTCCTGTCCAGCTTGTCCTCCCTTTTCCAGGAGATCAGCTGGGCTGTTTTCCCTGTACCTGGTTAGGAATTCATTGCTGGCCCCTACAGCGAGTCAGGAGGAGTTGAAGAACCTGAGGGATCACCAGTGAAAAACCCTTTGCCCTGATTTTCCCTGGGAAGGAAGCAGCTCAGGGTGTTCTGGCTAACTCCTTCCTTCCTGAATAACTTCTGTAAACCTGAGTTCCTCGTGCTTCCTCTTTGTCCTGGCTGATGTGAGGATTCCCCAGCGCTCAGAAACGCCTCTGGGTTATCAGCCCGTGGCAGCAGTTCCTGCTCAAATCAAATCGTGTCCCCCTCTACTGAGGGAAGGGCTGGTCCAGAATCCTAACTGAAAACCAGATCATGTCTCTGGTAAACTCATCTTGGGAGACTCTGAGAGCAGCAGGGGCTGAGTGGCTGTTCCTGCAGTTCCTGCCAGGAGGGAGCGAGATGCTGTGTCACAGATCTGCACATTAGGACATTTAACAGGATGTTTGTTTGGAAATGAAACCTGTGTAGCTACTCAGAGTCATGTTAAGGGTTAATGAGTCCAGTAGACCTTGAAGATGCCCTTTTGATAGTTAAAGTATCCCCAAATTTCACTGGGCTGCTCCCCTCTGCCCTTTTAAAGCTTTGTTGCTTGTCGTTGCTGACATGATGACTTCAAGGATTCTTTTCTTGTCTAATTGTAGTCCAAATGCCTAACAGAAAGTGCACCACAGCCTGGGGAAATGGTAGGTCTTCGATGGGACTGGGGCAGTGGTAAAGGGGTGCTGGTGCTAGTGAATTTTTGCATTAGAGAACTGGAAATAAAGAGGGTCTGACAGGCCACATCTGTCAACAGCCTTAGGGGCAAGAAGCACGTCCCAGGACACGCTGCCAGCTTTGAAAAATGCAGATATGCACAAAATAATGGTTCCTAACCGCTGGAGATTGATTGTTGAGCTGCGAATCGGGAGCAGTGGGTGACGCCAGGTTCTCATTTGGCTTTCTACCTTGATTTGCAGAAGGTGGCTGTAACGAAACTCAGTAAGGAACGCAGACTAAAAGGAAACAAAGTGTCCTGTGCGGTGGGTTTCTCTCCAAGGCTGATGTGACTCCCTCAGCATTGCGTGTCCCTCTCTGTGCTGCTGTGCAAGAGGGTGGCCAGCGCCATTCCTGGCTCCTGCTGTCCTGCCAGGGCTCTCTCCCTCTCTAGACTTGGCAGCTTTAGGAGGAGGAGCTGGCTGCTCCTGTAGTTCCATCCTCGGGAATGACTCCCCCTGGGTGTTTCTCCTTGGCTCCCCTGGCTTGGCTTGCTGTGCTCCATCAGAGCTGAAGCATTTTTGGTGCTTGGTAGAACAGGGGGATCTGGTAGGGCTGGATGGTGGTGGTGGATCGTGGGTCAGTGCCAGGGGCTGTGGTCCACCCCAAACATCCACGGTGCCTTCCTGGGCCTTGGACACACGTCAGGTGCAGTTTGCACCATTCCTCAGATTGCCTCCTTCTGGATGTGGGGCTGACTGGAAAATCACTGGGGACTTCTTGAAATTCGCCCTCCTCTGCTGTGGCACAAAGCTATGACTTCTGTGGCTCAATACTTACAAAAACCTGGAGTTTTTAGCTGCTCTCACTTCCTCTGGATGCTTTTGTGAATTTACTTATGGGATGGCACAGTAGCCACTCACTAATTGACTCGCCCAAGTATTTGCAGGTCCTGACCAGCACATCACACGGTAATAAAATATTTCAGCTGCTGGAACCTTTCCCTAGCAGCCCTTAAAATGGTGTGAGCTGAACAGTTTGATGTCTTTGAATCCCTGGGAATGATGGCTAATGCTCTTCCAGCCATTCCCATGTTCTCCTGAACGCTGGCAAATGAGCCTTGGCCTCTCTGGGAGCCATATCCTGAGTTCTCTCTGCTGCATCTGGAATTTTTCAGTGGCCTTTGCTCTTTTACTGTCACGTCCAGTGAATTGTTATGGAATTGTTACGGGACGCTGCCAGTTCCCACTGCCATCCCAGTACTCAGCTGGGAGAAGAGTACTTGTATTTCTGTCAGGGTGTTCAAAGGCTTAAAATGGGTGTTGCGGTGCATCTGTTTTTAACAGCTTCCTGCTTTGGATGCTTCAGATCTCACTGCAGAAGGGTTGACTTGTAGGAAAACGCTTTGCATGATGCTCCCCTAAAACCTCTGCTAGAACAGCAGTGCCCAACTCCCCCCCTGCCCTGCCTGCCTGTACTGACACGTGCAGCTCCCTGGGAATGTTCTTTATTTTCCAATTCTCGGATTAACCCAGCAAACTTCACTAGTGCTAACGTGGGTTTGGGGGCAGAGCTGATGGGTTTAAACCAGAAGGACTGAAATCCAACATCCTGGAGGTCGGTGAACCCCGGTTGAAGGATTGTCCCCTCAGCTCTGGGACACTTGTGTTGGCAACAACAACCTCCTGGTGCCAGGTGGATTTCCTTGAGTCCATCGGGCTGACAAGCTGGAGGGGGGGTTTAGCATAAAGGGTAGGACAGGAGTGTCTGATGTTGCCGTTCACCCTGTGTGTGTCCCAGTCCTCCAGCAGCGACAGCGGCAGCAGCAGCAGCAGCAGCAGCTGTAGCAGCAGCAGCATCAACAGCCCCGACAGAGCGTGTGGTGCAGAGTCCAGCCTCAACCCCAGCATCGCGGGATCCAGCCCCGTCTCCTCCCAGCCCTTCCACGAGCAGTCTGCACTAAGCCAAGGTCCTTACTTCCACATCAACCAGATCCTGAAGGAAGCCCACTTCCACAGCCTACAGAGCCGGGGACGCCTCCCTACATGATGACCCAGCAGCTCCCTGCCTTCTGTGAAGGGACAGCACTGTGTAGATTTGATATTTCAACTTCAAAGTTTGTTAACATGGAATTGCACAAAATTGCCTGTTGCCTTTTCAGTCTATATTTGAAATAACAGGTTAACAGGAGATTGTTTACTTGTGGTTTGCTGCACTATTGCAATGCAAAAGGGGCTTTGAAGCAATTTTTATAGGATTCTTTTTGGGGTGGTTCTAAAGTGCGTGGCCAGAGGAGACTGAGGAGTCCACATGTGTGTTATAGGATTGCAAACTGTCCAATTCCAATCGACTGCCTAATCTGTTTGTTAGCAAGTTGTTGCTTTCTGTAAAGTTCTCTTAAGCGTTCCTCTTCAGTTTTATAAGTCTTTTTTTAATTTCAATAAACTAGTTAAAAAATGATTCAGCAACATAATTTTTTAAGCATTTAGAGTTAGTAAGAGCAGTAAGAATAGGAGCAGTGACCGCAGGTCCTTAGGCCTAGGCAGCTGTGAGCTCCCACCCAGCTCAGTGGGAGGAGTCTTATCTCACATGAGCTTCACTGCTGCAGGACTGGAAAGAAAATGTGAAATTAGACCCAGGACAGCTTGTGCAGGTCCTGCTGGGGCCACTCAGGGCAGGGTCGTGGGGCCTGAAGGACACAGGAGTCTTGCCCTGCTCCAGCACCCGTTTCTAGCTGTGAAATGTTTTGTTTTCTCTTAGTGCGTAGGTTGTTTGGGAATTTCTTTCTTTCTTTAATTTGACTTTAAGGTTAACCATGTAAGGAGCAGGAGGTGAAGGAGCAGCTCCCCCTCTGCTCCAGCAGCCAGGGGACAAGGACAATCCCGAGCTGTGCCCGGTTCGAGTGACACACCCTGATCTGGCCGAGGATGGGAAGCACCGACAATCCTGGAGGTGTCACTGGTCCTGCCCAGGGGACAGAGGGATCTCAGAGGAGACAGACACACAGCCCAGCGTTTTATTTGCTGCTGCCTCACTTGGTCATGCCCGAGAGCCAGCCCAGCTTGAAGAGAGAAGGCGCCGCCGTGTCCTCGTCCTCGGTGACGAGCTGCCTGAACAGGGAGCCCGGGCGGGAGGCCTCGTCTTCTCTGGGGAGCACAGGAGCTGCAACCTGGCGGTTTTTAAACACAGAAGTGACTATAACTGTCACAGCAAACCTGGGACTCGCTCCACACCCTCAGCCACAGGAGCTGCAAGGCGTAGCCCACAGCAGGAACAGCTCTTCCCAGGCAATCTGACCCGCAACTGGCACGGTGTTGCTGCTGGGGGTTAGTGACAGACAGACAGGGACATCAGCACAGCAGCACCTGGCTGTTGTTAGCAGCCAGGGAACTTGGCAGATGGCACTCAGTGCTCAACAAACCCACATCAACACTCTGAGCTGCAGGGAAGGGGCTGCTGCCCTCAGAGCAAAGGATAACAGCGTGGTAGAAGCACGGCTGTTGCCCTTGCAGAGAGCTCATCGTGGAGAACTATCGATTTGAACCTCTGCAGGAGTGATTTAGCATTGAAGAGGGAGCAGGCAGCTGTCAGGGATTCGGAGAAGGGTGGCTGGCACAGGATACAGGTGAGAGGAGTGACAGGAGCGAGCCACACATCACTGCACACTTCTATGCTCCACTCCAGCTGAGGTGTGAGAGGTAAGGAATACCTTTATTGGGAAGCTTTGGGCTTTTAAACAACCCTTATGGGGTTCTGGTCCTGAATGGTTCTGAGAAAGGAGAGTTGCAGAACGAATTGAACATCATCTCATGTGGTAAAACCAGACCTTTAACTCCTGTCCTGACTCTTGTCAAGACTCACCAACTTGGCCCACTTGCCAAGACATCACCACAGATGGATTATTGGGTTGGTAATAACTAAAGGAAATTCCTGCTTCCCACAGCAGTGAGTATTCCTTGGCTCTCACTCAGCACACAGAGCTGCAGTTTGAGCAGATGTTTTAAACTGGGGGAAATGTAGCAACACAAGGCTTGTCTGCTACAGCTCAGCCACAGGACAGAGCGGAGCCTCTGCGAGAGCAGCACACACCCTCACACAGGCTGAGGTACCGGGCCGGGCTCCTCGGGGTTAGAGGGCAGCGTCCCACTGCAAAGGAGTTCAGTCATTAGCCACTGTCCTTCAGCCTTTCTCACAGCCCCTCCTTAATGAACTGTCCTTGATGCACTGCCCTCAAAATGCCTCGGCTGTGTAAATCCTCACTGCGTTTCAGGGTGGTTACTGCCTGGTTTGCCACAGAGCAGTGGCCCAAAAATACAGGGGCAAAGGGGTTTTTTTTTGAGGGTCGTGGGGAAATCCAGCCCATCTCCTGCTGTGTTGCCATAATGATTCTCTCATTTTACTGAAAATAAAAATCAGGTGAAATATTAACTGTTTGTCTACCTTCTTCTTTCCCCACAAGCTCAAGTGTTGTACTGGCAAATGTTCCTATTTGTAGGGCCCAGCTGTACCAACCTGGACTCGCTCCGTGCTCCTGGCAGTGGACTTGCTCTTCCGTGAGCTCGACATACTCAGCGGCAGGAGCCCAAACCTTGAGGTGGAAGGAAGAAACACAGGAAGCAGCAATTCCAGACCTGCTTCCCCAGAGACAGGAATGCCTGGGAGAGCCCAGTGCCTCACCTGATCTGGCTGGATGCCAAGGGCAGGATGTTGTGCAGCTCCTGCGAGCTCAGTGCCCCGCTCCGGCTCGTGTACTGGTTCTCTGTCCCCGTCAGCAAGCCAAAGAGAACCTGGAAGGCAGGAAGGAGCTGTTTGAATTTGGGGAAGAGAACCTGGAAGGCATGAGGAGCTGTTTGAATTTGGGGGACCCTGCAGAGCTGATCATGGTGAGTCCACTGGCAAACCACTGGCATTACGTTTGAACGTGAAGTGTCTCCCTTCCCCCTCTAACTCCTGCTTTTAATCATTGCCACAGTTGAGTTCCAGGCCTGTTTCAGCACTACTTAAGCCACTTAGTATTGCACAGGCTCCAGTGAATCCTGTTAGATAAAGTTGAGCCAACTCCACGCACGGTGACGCGGCACAGCCGGCTCAGCCAGCTCCTCTTATCTTCAGCTGGCATTAAATACTCTTCCCATTTCCAAGGAAGTGCCAGTGGTTATCTTTAGGCATTAAGCAGTTTAAAGCCACCCCCAGCTGCCCTTCTAGAAAGGCATTTTGCAGCCCTGCTTCCTGATCCAGCCCTTTTCCTTACGGAGGTTCTCTGGACCAGGCGGTTCAAGTTGCTGTTCAGGTGTGGAGTGAAAACGTCCAAGTCGAAGGGATCGATGTGTCCCTCCAGGAAGTCGATCACCTTCTCAATCCTGCAAGCAGAGCAGAGGGGCCCTGTCAGGGCTGACATCCTGCTGACAGCTGCTGGTGCCACCTCTGCAGCAGCCCAGGATTTCCTCTCTGAGGTGACTGAGCAGAATGGGAGTTACTCAGCAGAACAGCAGCTGCCTGAAGGGTTTGCAGCTCTTACACAACCCACAGCAGCTGCTGTGGCAGAGGAGCTTTCTCCCTGTTCCTCTGAAAGATGCTTCAGACTGGAGCACACACGAGGCTTTAACTCCTGGGTGGAAGCTTAACAGCTCTGTGCAGGGTGTCCTCTGAGGGTGTCCCTGGTGTCCCATGGACACAGTGTGTGCACAAGGAGAGAGGACCAACCTGCTGCCTCAGCTCCTGGCCACAGAGTCCCACCCCTCCCCTATTTTAAGGGTGAGCTTAGTGTTGGTGCAGTGTCAGAGCTTGGAGCCTGCACTGCCTGACTCCTGTGAGTGTTGTAGGGCCCCACAACCTTCTCCTGAAGGATCTGAACCCCAGAACTGCACCTCACCCAGAGTCCTGCTTGATCCTGCTGGGCTTCCCCTCCTCGCCCTTGGCCGTCAGGATGATGCTGAGGTACCGCAGGTCGTAGAGCAACTGCAGAGCTCTGGTCTGGGTCAGGGGGAAGGTGTCCACCTTCTGAAACAGGACAGGCACCCATGGGGCCCTTCCCTTGCACAGAGAGGGCTGTCCTAGGGGAACATTTCAAAACACCAGCCCCAAGACACAACCAACCGAACCGAGCCGCTGTGAGCGTGAAATGTGGTGTCTGATCCCCTGCAGCCTCAGCTTTGGGTGTTTGAGTGTCCCCTTTCCAGCTCTCATGGACAGACACTGTTCCAAGGGACAGCAGCACGTGCATCCCTGCATTCCCAGCCACCCTGCCATCCCACACCCCCTGCAGATCCCACCCACGAACCTTCTCCTGCTTCTGTTCCATGAGCTTCTCGTAGGCAGCGAGCACCTCTGCCATGCAGGTCCTCAGCAGCTCCTGCAGGGTCACCTTGGGAAGAGTGTGGCCACCCACCCGGTTCACCTCCTGGCACAGGCTGAACAGGAGGCACTGCACGTGCCAGGAGGGCTGTGGGAGAGAACAGTGTTTACTTCCACGTGGTCTGGGAGCTCTGTTTGCTTTAACAGCACCACATCCCTTCAGCTGGGTGGTGGGAGCTTCCTGCTTCCTCAGCAGCCATGAAGCTTTGTCCCCACAGCTTGGCTCAGGCACCTCCTGGGGTTTGATTTACTGACGCCCCCGATTTTGGGTTCCAGCAGCCCTCAGAGCCCCACCAGAGGTGGGACTTGGGTGTGGTGAGAACAGAACTCCTTGTTTTGCCTGTCACCACTGAGCCTGCTCTGAACACTTACTCCTCGGGGTTGTTTCTCCCTCTCTCTTTGCCTCCATCCCAGGCTCTCATCCTGCTGCTTTTCCCCTCAGAATCAATAAAAATCACTGGATAAGCTTCACTACACAAAACCATTGCCATGCCCAGCCCCTCCTGTGCTGTGCAAACACAGAACTCTCTCCTGGCCTGGCCCTGCCCTCCTCCCCCTCCCGAGTGCCACCTGTTTTGTCCCCATGAGTGTTCTCCCTGCACCACCTCCACACCTATAGAAAACCACACACTCGGTTCCCTTAGGATTTCACCATGCCACTGCTGCAGCCCTGGCCTTCAGGGCATGCAGTTTCCATGAAATCTCTCTCCTGGGACCTCTGTGTTTAAACCAGGCCCAAGTTCTTCCCTGGCTCAGTTTTCCAGGACCTGGGCCAGTCTTACTCATTGGAATAAACAGCAACAACAATCTATTTCCTTCCTGTGACCTCTGTCCTTATGAGGTGAGTATCCCAAAGAGCACCAGAGAGTGTTTGTCCTCTGCTCATGACACCCAACAGCTCCCCAGCAGGGCAGCACGTGCTGTGGAACCCAGTGCTCTCCTCCCCGCAGCCTGTTCCTCGTACCTGCACGGGCAGCCGGATCTTTGACGTTACGCTGCTCCCGGACTCAGTTTCCTCCTGGATTTCAATTTCATCCCAGCTGGTGGCTGTGGCCAGGACAGAACCAGCCGTGTCCAGCAGCAGCGTGTGGGTGAAGCACTGAACCAGACCCTGGAGCAAAGACCCAAAAGCCCCAGTGAGAGGACAGACAGCCCTAACGGGACCAAGGACACACATCCCGCCATGCCTGACCCCCACACTTCCCAAAGTAACCCATGGAGATTATCCCACTGGAGTCACCTCCGAGCTGCCACCCCCTCCTCTCCCAGCAGCCTGGCGAGCTCTTGGCAGCCAGTGCCGACCCCAAGGAATTCCCACACCAGAATCAGCTCTGAGGAGAGAAACGGCTCCTTACTTTGGTGACAGCGGAGCTCCAGATCTGATAAGCCAACAGGCTCTGCTGCAGGAGCTCTGCCTTCAGCCCCTGCCACTTGGCCTGCTCGGGGGTCACTTCCTGGGCCTTCCCCTTCCCCAGCTTCTTGGTGGAGCGCGTTTCCTTGGGCACCGTGTCCGCGCTGCCCGCCGGGCCCAGGACACAGCGCTGCAGGTGAGGGCACAGCTCGGGCAGGGCCTGGCACAGCCTGGCCATGAACAGGACGGCACTGAGCCCGGCACCGCCGGGGGGGCCCTGTGCGCTCTGCAGCTCCTCCCTGACGCAGCCCAGCAGGTGCTGGACGCAGGCGCCGCAGTGGTCGCGCAGCAGCCCCCGCACGGTGCCGGCGTCGGCGAAGCGGTCGAAGGCGGAGCGCGGCCGCGCCGCCGGCTCCGCGGGCACCGAGGGCTCCGCGGGGAGGTAGGACAGGAGATCATCCAGCCTGGCCTTCAGCTTGGAGTCCAGGGCCGAGCAGAAGCTCTGCACGCACGGCGTGAGCGCCTGCGCCTTCATGGCCAGCCCGCTGCGGGCGAAGGGCCCGCGCTGCCCCACGCTCACCCACGCCGCGTCCGCAGGCAGGTCCCCGGGGCCCTCCGACCACAGGAACAGCGCCACGTTGTGCTCCAGCTGGATCTGTTTGCTCAGGGCAGAGTTGCCCAGTTTGACCTCCAGTTCCTGCAAGGCTAACGTGAGCAGCTGTTTGGAGCTGCTGGAGATGGAGTCGAACCCTTCTTTGGTCAGAGTCTGGAAAAGAACCAGCAGGGGGGAAAGCACCTTTAAATGTGCCCCTTGGACACGCCCCGAGTGCTGCTGAAGGGCACCACTGCGGGCTGGCTGGGACAAGGAGGGGCACGGGGCAAGGCTCCCCACAGCTCAGCACCCACCTGCAGCCTGTCCAGGAAGAGCTGCTGCAGCAGGTCCTCCCAGAGGGACACGGGCCTGTCCAGGAGCCGCCGGCACACGGCCTCCCAGTTGTGGCTGCCGGACTCGCTGGACAGCAGCTCCCACACGGCATCTCGGATCCCTGCCAGCCCCTTCATGCTCCTCACGTACACCAGCAGGCTGCTGACCCCGGCCCTGATGTCGTCGCTGCACCTGAAGGCAACATTTCCCCATCGGACTGGGAGCAGGTGGCTCCACCAAATAATAGGACAGGGCTGCTAAGGGGAGGCAGGAAATGGCCTGCTGGGATAGGGCGGAGCTGGCAACTACATAAAGGGGGTCTGGCTTCTCCCACACAGCCCCAGGAAGGAGGAGAAAGAAGGTGCTGGTTCAGGAGCCAGGTAAGGCATTTTCTTGCCATTTGCTCTGAGCTTGTTTGCTGGTGGCTATGGGAGTGTGTACAGACAAGTCTGTGTAGCCCAGCAGGGCTCTTGTGTCCCAGTGTTCCAGCCTGTCCAACTGAGGATGAGGGGTAAGGAGGAGGTCAGGGAATCTGGGGTTGCTCTGTGCTGCCCAGGGGTCACACAGAGCCCGGGAGAGCCCTGCAAAGGGGGCCCCTGCACCACTCACATGCTGATCCACTGCTGCAGGGTCTCCCTGAGGTGCTCCTGGCTGATGGGGTGTGCCAGGGTCCGCAGGGCCGGCTGGAATTCCACCACGGACTCCGGCAGGTACTTGAACCAGCTGCTCAGCTTCAAGTCCTCCTCCAGGACCCCCCCTCTCCCTGGAAGCAGAGGGTCAGGGATCAGCCCGGCACAGGGGCACCTCCAGCCTGCACACCGGGGCAGGGGCAGTGCTCACCTGCAGGCTGCTGGCCTGTGGTGCTCTCCAGGGTGGAGAAGAGCAATCCACAGGGCAGGGCTGGGTCCGGGGACATCCCCTCAGGCACAGTGTAGAACAGAGCATGAGCCTGGTACAGGGTGGTGGTGAGCAGCTCCATCAGGGAACACACCTGAGCCTTGATACCTGCACCTGCAGGGAAACCACTCTGAGCCCAGGCAGCCCCTCCAGCAGGTGGGAGTGGCACCGTGTTCCAAGGCTTTTGAATTAGAGAAACCTTCCAGAGAAGGGCTGGAGGGTGAAGGACTCAGCCTCATGCCCCACTCCTTCCCCACTACAGGTGGGCTTGGCTTAAGACCCTGAGAATTGTTAATTTTCATGTACTGTGGAGGTCTTTTGCTGCTGGGGCAAAAGGCTGCCAGCAGTGACAGGACATGGCTGTGTCCCTGCCACCATGAGATTTATGGGAATAATATGGGAATAACCCTCCTCGTTCCAGGGGCACGAGGGAGGTGAAGCGAAGGGTCACCCCGACTCTCCCAAGGACACACCCCCATGGCACTGACCGTGGTGTGGCTGGTTGAGCAGCTGCTGGATGGCCATTTTCCTGGCCAGCAGGAAGTCAGCCAGGGCCTGGCGTGGGGAGCTGTCCTCCAGCAGCATGATGGCACACAGGGCCTCGGCCACCGCCTGGTCCGACACTGCCCGCGCCCGCAGCAGGGCCTTGCTCTGCTGCAGGATGGTGGATCTGCCCACGGAACGGGGTGGGGGTCACTGGGGCTGACCGATACATTCCCGTGTTATGTGATAACCACCGAGCCAGGGTGGGACCCTCCCAGATATAAGTGGGGCTGTCTGGCTGTTACGGGGCTGGGTGAGGTGTTTTGTCCTGCAGCTGGTCTCGGGCTCGTGGAAGGGTTTGGGTTGGGAGGGACCTTAAAGCTGCCTGGTCCCTGTCAGCTGCAGCCCCCCATGATGTGCTTGCTGGGCCTTCCCTGCCTGCTGGCTTTCCAGGGGCATTCCTGCAGTGTTGTGCTCCCCAGTCTGACACTTGGCACAGCCCAGGGATGCTGCCAGTGGGCACGTGGCCTTCCTGTGGGACCCTGGGGGTGGGATTCAGGTGCAGAGGTACCTAAAGCCCTACAGGTGATTTCTCAGGACAGGTTAAGAATTCCCCCACCTTTCCACTATCCCAAGGTTGCTCCAAACCCCGTCCAACCCAGCCTTGGACACTCCCAGGGATGGGGCAGCCACAGCTTCTCCGGGCAACCTGTGCCAGGGCCTCTCCCCCTCCCGCCCCATCCCATCCCATCCCTTCCCAGCCCACCTGAGGTGGCTGGCGGCGGCCACCTGACGCAGCAGGATGGGGAAGCGGGCGAGGATGGGGCTGCTGCGGGCACGGGGGGCGTCCAGCTGGAGCTGCCGGCGCAGGTGGGCACCCAGCAGGTGCAGCCGGGCGGCCGGCAGGTACCGACCCCCCTCCACCGCCCCCCAGACCTGCTCGGGCACCTCCAGCAGCAGCTTCAGCTGAGCCGCCGCCCCGTAGAAACCGCGCTGGGCCGGGGGGTGCACCTGGGGGGACACGGGGGGGAAAAAGGGTGGTGAGGGGGGGGGGAAGACGAGGGAACACGGACCCCAGAAATGGGACAGGGACTCCCAAAAAGGTCAGGGACCCCAGAAACGGGTCAGGGACCCCAGAAATGGGACAGGGACCCCAGAAATGGGACAGGGACCCCCAAACAGGTCAGGGACCCAAGAAATGGGACAGGGACCCCAAAACAGGTCAGGGACTCAAGAAACGGGACAGGGATCCCAGAAATGGGACAGGGACCCCCAAACAGGTCAGGGACCCAAGAAACAGGACAGGGACCCCAAAACAGGTCAGGGACTCAAGAAACG